ATTGATTGGTTTATTATTTGAGATGAAGAAAGAGTGATTTACTTCTTTTTTAAGTCACAAAGTTTTTAACACCTTCAGATGGGTCTCCTAAGATCAGTTCTTTAGGATGACTTGAAAAATATCTCTATTTTCTAGGTAGCGAATTTTCAAGTTCCACCCATTCCTCTATATTTAAAGATTATACTCCTCGGTTGATTTCTACAACTTTTTCTTCGAACCTAGACCCCCCCAAAATTATTAAATTCATCAATTATAATATTAGAGGTCTCCTCTACCACCAGTGTCCTTTTATTGATAACTCTATAGGATTTTCCAACATTTGAGTACCCTAGGAACACTCACTCATCAGATTTTGGGTCAAACTTTCCTAGTAGAGATTTCCCAATTTTCAAAATAAACACTTTACATCCAAAGACATGAAGGTGAGAGAGGTTAGGAGTCCTACCCTTAAGAATTTTATAGGGTTTCTTATTTATTCTGAATCTAACATTAATTCTATTCAGAACATAACAAATTATATTCACTACTTTTACCTAGAAGTATTTAGGAAGTGTGAATTCAACTAATATGGCTATAGTGGCATCTACCAAGGTCCTATTTTTTCTTTCAGCAGCCCCATTCTACTGAACGGTTCTATGAGTTGAAATTTTTTGACCTATCTCTTGTTCCATACAGTAGGTTTTAAATTTTACATTCAAAAATTCTTCACCATGATCACTATGAATTATTAGGATTTCACAACCTAGCATCCTCTAAATTCAATTGGAGAATGATCTAAATTCCTTGAATTATTCACTCTTATGAGATAGGAATCTAAACCCTGATTAATCATCAATAATTACATACCCAAAAACTTTCTCTCCTAGGATTACAATGCTAATGTATTGAAAGAAATTCAAGTGAAGGACTGCTAAAGGTTTGCTAGTATTAATATCCTTGATTGAGTGGAAGGACAATTTGACTTGCCTTTCTATCTGACAGGCATCACACAGGTGGTTCTTAGTGAACTATAGTTTGGGTATGCCACTCACTAAGTCTTTTTGGGTGATTTTTTATGATTTTTCATTCTTGTATGACACAATCTCCTATGCATCAACCATGATTCATCACCAATAGTTTCTAGGCAAAGAGAAGTAGGAGGTTCAATATAATTTAAATCAAGCATGTAAATATTATTGATTCTTTTTCCTTATAATACAGTGTTTCTATTAAGCATATAATGTAGTTGGCATACAAAAAATTAATTTTGGAGCCTTTATCATAGAGCTAACTTATGCTAAGCATGTTATGTTTTAAGCCATCTGCTAGAAAAACATTTTGAATCAGAAAATTTTTTGAGTCGCTAATTATACCTGAGCCCAGCACTCTCTTAGCGGTGTTATCTGCAAGTGTCACCTGACCTCTAATAAAATGAATTGATTTGTAACAAAATGAATTGACTTATATCTCTAGTCGTGTGTCTTGATCATCTACTATCTAGGTGCCATATGCTCCACGAGGCCTTCTACGAGAGCATCCCTACAAAATAATCATTGGTCAGATTTGGGAACCCAAATAAGTTTTAGTTCCATCTTATAAAATGTTGGATGAAATGCTTGCATGTTATGCTATGAATTAAACAATTTTGGTCTCCACACCAAACATGTTCTATGGTGGTCAGTGCAAGTGTGTGAGATGTGTCTTAGCATGCCAGAGAAACATAAAACTCCAAAAAAAGGGTTTACTATTTTATGTGGGTTATGGTGCCTAAGATGGAACTAAGGGAAACAAAAACATTGTAATTACTGGAATTTTCCGAAATCTTCATTCCATATTTTGCTTTTAAGAACTTGTTAAACAATGAATCTTCTTTTTTCACCAAACTCCAGGCAAATATAGTCCTAGAGGACCGGCAATATTGACCACCGAATGCACACCTTGGCCTCCTTCCTTCCAACTCTTGCATAAGTTGTCCCAAGCCACATAGTGTAAACTGTGGATACCACCTTGTTTATCCTAAATAAAGCTTCTACAAACTTTATCCAACTTTTTTAAGGTACTCATTGGAACCAATGAGTGAGCAGCCATAAAAACCGATAATGAAACTATTACTGATTTAACCAATACAAGCCTACCAGCTAGAGAAATAGATTGCTTACCCCAAACATTTAGTTTGTTAGCAGCTTTCTCTATGATATAGTTAAAATCTAAAGCCATCAGTCTTCTAAGAGTCATCTTGATCCCAAGATTGTTGAACTCATTAACTTTTTTGTAATCCCAAAGCTTAGAAATTGCCTTCCTCCTTTTCCTCCTCATCAATTTTCCAAACAGGATAACAAATTTTTGCTCATTAACTTTTTGTCCAGTTCGTCTACCAAAATCTGCTATAATTCCCTTGAATTTCTTCATACATTTTAAAGTTGCTTTGGAAAATACGAGTATGTCATCTGCATACAATAAATGTGAGATTTTAGGAGTATTTTTAGAGATTTTTATACCCAATTTTCTACCTCTGTGAGATAAATAATTTGTCAAAATCTGATGGCAAATAATAAACAAATAAGGAGAGAACGGACAACCCTTTCTAAACCCACTTTTTGCTTTGATACCTTCAAAAATTTTGCCATTTATCATGATAAAAAACTCAAGATTCTCAACACATTCCATGAGAACATTAATAAAACTATTTGGAAAACCTTAGAGATCCAACACCAGTCTTAACGTTTCCCAAGCCATACTATCATAGGCTTGTTCCATATCTAGCTTGATAGCCAAAAAACCTTTCCTAGATTTCAAAAATCTGAGTTTGTTGAAAAGTTCATGGGCTAATAAAATATGAGTAGATGGAGATCTACCCTTAATAAAAGCAGTTTGAACTTCTTAAATAAGTCCACTAACCACTTTCAATAGCCATTTTGGCTATAATTTTGTATAAAACACAAGAATGACTTATTGGATGGAATCTTGGAGGAGTTTTCGGGTTGGTCACTTTAGGAATAAGGACCACAAGTGATTCTTTCCATACGGAACAGAGCTTCCCTATTTGAAAAAATTGGTTCACAATAAGCCACAACTCATTACCTATTATGCTCCAATAGTTTTTAAAAAATAAATTGGTAATTCCATCAAGTCCATGAGAAACATTAGAACTGCAGTTTTGGATTACCAATTCTAGTTCTGATAAAGTGAACTCTGCCTGTAGAAGCAAAAAATTGGATTCAGATAAAAAATTCAAACCTGGCATCCACCCCTCCAAGCAGCTGGTTCGTTTCTTCCATTTATCCTTGTAGAATTTCAACATGATTCCTTCAATATCTGCTTGCTCTTCTACCAAAATCCCATCTTCATTCCTCAGTTATCGAATTTCATTCCCCAATCTTCCTCCATTAGCAAAGGAATGGAAGAGATTGGAATTCATGTCATCCTCCTAAATCCACCTCACCTTAGATCTTTGTCTCCACCATCTATTAATCCTTGCTACAGTCAAATTGAATTCATGAGTTTTGGCTCTTAACATCAATAGCTTTTCACAAGATAGTCCATGGCCATTTGATTCTTCAATCTATAAATTGGAGATCTCCTTTTTCAATGCTTCTTTAAGATCTAGAAAAATCTTCAGTTTTGTTTTACTCTAATAATGAAGGGCTCTCAACACCCTCTTGCACTTCACATTAATAAAATTCATAGCATCACCTTTAACTGGTTTACTACAAGTCTTTAGAACAATAGCTTTAGATGCCGGATATGAGGACCATACCTCCTCATATCAAAGCAACCTGCTCTGCTGTAATTTTTCATTACAAAACCTTAGAAGTAACGAGCAATGGTCAGAAGTGATTCTCTCCAAATGCTTAACTGCTGCATTGTGAATCTCATTCAAGGCTTTAGTGTTCAAAAGGCACCTACCAAACCTCTTAAGGATACAAGCATTTCTGGTTTTTTTGTTATACCATGTAAATTTTGGCCCTACCAAGCCAACATCATGAAGATCCATCTTTGTCATGAAAGCTCTCATTTCTTGTGGCCCTTGAGAAAATGAGAATTTCTTCCCACCCCTATTTTCATCTTGGGCTAATATACAATTAAAATCACCTCCTACTACCATAGGGATTTCCTTCTCACCACAGCCTTCTAATTATTCCAACAACCTCCTCAAGTGAAAGTTTTTGTTGCCATACACCGTCGAGATCATCCAAGTGCCTTTGTTGAAGATATTAAGCTTCCGAATTACACATTGAGGAGAAGCTTCCACTAGAGAGAAATTAGCCAAATTTGCTTTCCACAAAACAATAATTCCTCCAAAAGCACCATCTGAGGGATACAAGAAGAAATCCCACAAACAGCCACCCAGACAACCAAAGAAATTTTTTTTTTTGAATTTTCCGGCGGACAAAGAGCGCCGAAAAGCTGCCAGAATATTTTACCGTCGGAAAAGGCTGTTGGAAAAAATTTTTCGGCGCATTTTTTACCGGCGGAAATTTATCCACTGGAAAACTGCCGGAAAAGTATCACTTTCCATCAGAAAAAGCCTCCGTTAATTGGTGATTTTGCTGTAGTGAAACTAGAATGTTAAAATTTAATATAAATGTTTGTAAATTATCTCCCCTAATATTTAGATTTTTAGGTTGACTTTGTTTGAATAATTTGTTCATCATTAATCATGACATATTTTTGTGGGGTTTCTATCTATTTATTTATTTTATTATGTTTAATATGATGTCAATAAGGATTTATAGATAGAGTTTGGAATCGAAAAAAAAATAGAATAAAAATATTAAACTAAAGAAATTCAAAATTAGAACAAAATAATCTAACCAATATATATATATATATATATATAAGAATTTTATTTAATGACTATATATTATTTATCTAATTAATAGTTCACTTATTAAAACATACAGTAAAATATATTTTTTTTTTTGGAAATGTAAAAAATAATTTTTATTTTTTGAGATGTAAGTAACGGTTATAAGGGCATTTAGGTAAGACGACAAATCAAACTAATTTAAGAGTGCGACTATGGCAGAGAGGACGGCCGAACGGTCTCTCATTTTCTGCTTGAAGCGCCGAAGGCCTTGAAGCTGAAGGCTAGTAATCAAAGAAGCGACTCGGTCTATCTGCGCTCAAAGCTCGCCGGAAACGATGGTGTGGCTGCTGTGAGTAATCGAAGGTTGGTGGGACTGCTGTGAGGAATCGAAGGTTAGTGGGGCCTAGGGTTAGGGTTTTCTCCCAAACTCTCCGTCCTCCTTTTACTTAATTGTTTTTGTTGTTTTTCTGCTCGTCGGCTCCTGTAAACATCCCTGGTTAACTTATTATTATTATTTTTTTAATTTCTGTGATTTCTCTTCACTTCTTCCCGATTTGATTTTGTTCGCTGACGCCGCTCGCTGCAGCCTACAGTCTCCCGTGCTCCCCACTCTCGTCAAATTATAATTTTTTCCCCTTTTAAGCCTAAATTCCCACTTCAACTTTTTATAGGGTTTGCAATTAGTTTATCTCTCTCTCTTTTCTCCGACGCATACTCTTCTTTTACATACCTCATTTTCTTCTTAGTTGTTGTCGTTTTTCTCCCTGGCAGAAATTACTGCGTTGCCGGCACCACTGATTCTCTGATCGGCTTCTTCTCATGTCGGATAGTAGGTTGCTCTTCCGCCTTTCCATTTCTTTTCCTCTAAGGTGTTCTTCTCCTCTCTGCAGTGTTCTTCTCCTCTACGATGAAATATATTGTTTATCCGAATTTAAAAAATGTCTGACAAAATAGTTATATTTTGGTGTGTAAATTTGTTGGATTCTATTTTTAGTTTTGCTAGCTTTATTTGGAATTAATCTGAACAGATGTTTCCTTATAGATATATAAGCTGCAGCATGAAGCACAATGCTCCTAGAATAATTAAGTTGTTCTCCCCACAACAAATTGGCGATCAACTTTACAAATAACTCCAACCAACTCAAACAAATCCTTAATGTTCGTTTAATTCAATCTAAATTTAAGTGTAATTACAGTGTTTGTCTTTACTAATTTCATGTCACACTGAATATATTTTTATTCTCCAATTTGCAGTTTCTCGCAAAAAAATTTTAAATACTCCTCCAGGGTAGATAACACTGCATTTGTCGATGTTCCTAAAACAAAACATAAAAATTATAGTATCTAGTAGCAAGCTTCTGCTAGAAGTATTTAGGCCTGATGAATACATAAACTACATACATATTTAATATTGCATCTTTGATGAAATATATGTAGCTTCTCATATAAATGCAGGTTATATAGTTCAAAATCACAAAAAAAATGTACTAAACATTGACATAGATATAGCCTACATTCACAATCAACTATCTTCATTCTATAATCTTATTCAACATAGAAAACATACTCTACAAACAGGACTTGATAACGACAATTTATCTGGTGCTGTATATCAACTTAATCACCATCTCTATTTATGACACTAAGAAGCCATGTCATCTTTTACTTTTTGGATAATATTTTTATCTATTTTGATTGTTTATGATTTTCTTCTTAAGTATCATCTTGATCTAAAAGTTAGTTGAAAATTAAGCTCTATTTTTTGTGAAAAGAGGTTTATGGAGGTGTAATAGAGCTCTATACTAGGTATTGGGTAATTTAATCACGAAATATACTCATCATGTTAGTTGGGTAGATTATATTAAGTTAAAATTATTGGATGAGAAAAATTCAGTTTTTCATATATTATGATAAAAAGATTCTTTATGATTTGTGAACCAAGGACAAGATTTTCAATTCATTTTCTATCACATTTATTTCCTTTTAAACTCCATAGGCTTTCTTGATGTCAATCTTGTTCTTAATTACTTGATTCCTCTAGCAATGTCTATCAATCAATTATTTTATTTTCATTGCTACTCGTGTGCTTAATTTGTTGCCCTCTATGTCTCCTTCCCTTGAAAGAATTTTAACTCGGTTTTTTTTTTTTTGCAAGAAATGAAATTGACATGTTTCTATGAAAAAATATGATAGATCAAATATTTCTATTGAGTTGAACAATTTTACTGTGGAAGCAGATTCAATTCTGCATAGTCTGTATTTCAAAATCATCATAGAAATCTTGTAATACTTGAAAATCATGTCAACTATGCATATTTTTTTGTTTTAAAATTTTGAAAGACTCTCCCCATACTTGCGAAGTAATTTCTTTGTAAAAAAATCACAATTTAAATGTTCCTTTCGTAAATCATCTAAAGGTCATAGCATTGATCTAATTAATTGAATTTGAAATGCAATTTATTGTTAATTCTGGAATTAATTTTCCTTTCTAAAATCTTTGCTTATTGTTAATTCCAATAATGAATTTTTTTCTAGGTTTTTTTTTGTGACAGTTTTATTTCTATAGATTGTGAAGAGAATGCTCCATTGTTTCCTGCTAATGTTTTAGACATTGATCCTTAATATTTCTATAATCCTTGTGGTGTTCATCTCTGTGTCCGCTATTGCAATTTTCATTTTATAACTTTCTAGAATCAACTTTATGATCCTGGCTTTTTCTTTTTGGGAACCTTATCATACAAAACGTTCTTATGATATTCATTTCATTTATCTAGCTTAGGCAAACTGTTCCCTTATTGGCTTATAAAACTCAAGGAGAGTAAAAATTTGAGATTTATGTCAAGGAAGCGATTCTTCTCGATCTGCATACCAAGATCAAAGACCAGACTCCAAAATTGGATTGGAGAAACAAATGGTTAGAGATCCAATAGATAATAAAGAAGTTGGCTATGACGAGATCAATCATCCCTCGACATTTGAGGGTCTTGAAGAGAAAATCCTTGAATACATTATGAAACTGACCAAAGAACAAGAAGAAGCTGATTACAACGAAAATACTCGGCATAGAGGTAAATTTGATCACATTTTTATTTTTTATTTTTTCACAACGGAAAATTCATCCTGCATATAATTTGATTTTTATTATCGTCTTATTACGTTGTTGGAGAGATAAAGCTTCATTTGTGATGACTTTTTTTATTGCCTTTTAAAAGTGTTTTAATTAAAAATAAAAAATTTTATACTAAACTCTACTTTAAGAAGTAATAAAAAAGTCATCTCAAACGAAGCCTGAGTGAGATTAATACTCAATGTCAAGAGAAACTGGTAACAGTTCGAGCTCAACAAGCTTGCCTTAGAGATGAGTTTCTTCGCAAGGAATTACAGCTTCTCCATAAGCAATACCCAAATTTTCATCTCTTAGTTGTTCATTTTCTTCTTAATTTGGTAATTTGATAGACAATTTTAGAAACTCATCAATATTTCGATCAATATATTTGTAATTATTTATATGATATTTATATTTGCCAAACTCTTCTTTTACTTAAGGTTTCATCGCACCAATTGCTATCTATCTTCTAAGTGCTGAAGCAAATTAATTAAAGCATGGCTTTGGCACTTGGGAATATAACTTTTCCTATTTAAGTAATAAGCAGCGGCTAAGGTTGTTGTAAATCTCTTGGCTTTAAATGCAGTAGGTTGGTTTTTTCCTTTACTAAAGAGCAGTGCAAAGCTTATGATTTGCTCGAAGAAGGCGGTAAATGGAAATGATCTCTATCTAGATAAGGACTTGGAAAATATCATCCATGCTTGGTCAAATCAGCTTCCCTTCCCATTTTCTATTTAATGCTTTTGTAAGTAAGAATCCATCTCTTCATTAAATGTTTAGAACAATAGAAGAAAAAAAATCTATGGAAAATGATAATGATGATATATTGTTAAAGGTGAACATCTTTTACATGTATGTTTATTTATATATGTAAATGTTCAAGTGGAAGGATCGACATTTGGAAGGAGGGAAGAGTGAATATGGATACAGACAACTTTCTGTAGAAAATATCTAGTTTTTAATTCATGAAAATTCTGTGATTGTAGGTTTATACATCAGATGAAACATGTAGACTGGCAAAAGTCAGTGAACTTTTTGTTTATCAGAACCTCAGCAGGGTCCCAGCTGAGAATGTGGAGGCAGGAGATATTTGTACAGTTTGTGGAATAAATGATATAATGGTAAGCAGTCCACTCGGATCCATCCTGTAGTTGTATTTTTTTCAGTCTGCATATCTATGAGCTTTTTCTATGGAAACGTGTCAAGTGGATGATAGCTTGTTATTATTCTCATGTTTATGCAGATTGGAGAGACAATAGCTGATAAAAGCTCTGGGAAAGCAGTAGTACCCACCATCAAAGTAGAGGAACCGACAGTAAAAATGTCTTTCTCCATCAATATTTCTTCCTTTGTTGGTCGGGAGGTATAATTCTTTCACGATAAATGAAATTTAATAATTCACATGATGCATTTGAAATTCCAAAAACATAGTCACCCATACAATGCTTTTCCAGTTTTATTTATGAAAAAATTCTTCCAAAGTATGGATTGACATGTAAAATTTTACTAGTCACAAACCACAAGTCTACAAACTTTAGTGTTGAATCAAAGTAAACATTCACTACAATGCTATTTTTTTTGTTTTCTTGCATTGTTAGTAGATGACGTTGAGTTCTGGTATCAACTAGATCACTCTTTGTTTCTCATATCAAATTCTTCCAATTTCCTTATAACTTTTATTACTATGGATTTCTTATTACTTGAATTTGTTAATAGGATCAATGATAAATTGATAATATTGTCATCTTTTTCTCTTTGATTATTGTTCATTTAGTCCTTCGTTTAGGGATTGCTTGGTTGGGAATATTTTAAGTGTATTGCATTTTAAAAGGATGGGTGTCATGATTTAGAATGCTTGGTTGAGAGT